TGGCATGTGGCGTGTGTTCATCTACCCATCCATCTACATTTACACGGTACAGTGAGCATGGTGGTAGACAGTTATAACCTTGGCGCTCAGAAGGCAGAGGTAGGAAGATCAAAAATTCAAATCTAGCCTGGAGACTGCACAGTGAGATTCTGCTTCACAAATAAAAACAAGGTGCTGGAGAGATGGCTCCTGCTGCTCTCGCAAAGGACCTGGGTTCCGTTCCCCAGAAGCACCAGTGGGTTCCAGGAGATCTGACTCCCGTCTTCTGATCTTTTTGGGTGCTGCACACACGGGTGTTCATATATGCGCACACGCAGAACATTTACACACATGTAAAAAAAAGTTTAGAAAAAGACATGATGCACAGAGACACAAATACTAAAACACATAATGTGGCAACTGTTTCTCCTCTGTTCTGTGACCTAGAAGTCCCCATCCCCCACTGTCTCTCCCCCAAGGGGACCACAATGTTGCTTCATGTAGCTCTCCAATTTATGTATTTGTATGTGGATGTACATGAATATCCCTGTGTGTGCTGAAAACCATTCTTTAATTGAGAAAAAGGGATATTGTCTCTTTCTTTTTTTCAAGACAGGGTTTCTCTGTGTAGCCCTGGCTGTCCTGGACTCATTTTGTAGACCAGGCTGGACTCAAACTCAAAGAGATTCACCTGCCTCTGCCTCCCAGAGTGCTGAGATTACAGGCATCTGCCACCATGCCCGGCTTATTCCTAACCTCTTAACTCATCTATCATGTCTTCACTTAGACTCTTTGCACTTCTGCTGGCCACCTGTCCTTTAGTCACTTCTAATTTCTTTCATGACACACAATCATCCACATAGCAAACATTTATCTATAGTGCACTACCACTGTTAAGCCTGTAATCCCAGCACTTGGGAAGTCGAGGCAGGAGGATCAGAAGTTCAAGTCATCCTTGTTTCATCTTTTTCTTCTGGGATCCCCTTCTGGAGTGCTTGGCACTGAACCCGGAGCGCTGCATACACAATGCTAGGCAAGCACTTTAGCACTGATGTAGATCCCCAGGCTAGATATACAGTATTGTAGCAAACTTTATGTAACAGAAAACTGGTCTTCACAATGTGCGATTCAAAGACTGTTTTTAGTAAATTCATAAGCACATGCAACTCTAATTTTAAAATATTTTCATCACTTGAAAAAGAAACCCATTAATAGTTACTCTTCATCATACCTTTCAGGCCCAAGTGAGCCTAATCTCTCTATCCTAATGAATTAGTCTACTCTAAACATTTCATGTAAATAGAATAATACAACCAGGCAAAAATGCAGTTATTAAATTAACGATTTCTTCTATGTACTATTGTGTTTTCAAGGTTTATTCACATTGTAGTATCTATCAGCAGTTTATTCCTTTTTGTGGATGAATATTAATTCTTTGATTAGATTTCTTGTTTTTGTTTGAGACAGGGTTTTGCTGTGTAGCCCTGAAACTGTCCTGAAACTCTGTTCTGTAGACCAGGCTGGCCTCGAACTTACAGATATCCGTCTGCCTCTGCTTCCTGAGTGCTGGGATTACTGCCCAGCTCATTGCATGGATACTATTATTGCTTTAATCCATTGATGAATATGTAGGTTGTTTCCATTTCTTGGTTATCTCAAATAATGCTCTAGCCTGATATGGTGGTGCAAGCCTATAGTCCTAGCACATGGGAAGTAGAGGCATGAGGATCAGAAATTCATTCTAGGTCATGCATGTCTACATAGGGAATAAAGGGCTAACCGGGGCCATGTAAGACCTGATCTCCAAAAAACAAAATCAGGTCTGGAGAGATAACTTACAGAGCACTTGCTATACCTAGTGGGATCCCCAGCACAGACCTAAAGAGCCAGTCACACTGCGTGTTTCTGTAATTCCAGTGCTGGGGAGGTCAGAGTAGGGGGATCCTTTGGGCTTACTGGCTAATGAGCTTCAGGGTCAGTGAAGAGTCTATCTCAGATTGGGCAGTGGTGGCACAAACCTTTAACCTCAGCACTCAGGGATGCAGAAGCAGGAGGATCTCTGTGAATTCGAGGCCAGCCTGGTCTGCATAATGAGTTCCAGGACAACCAAGGCTACACAGAGAAACCTGTCTCGAAAAACAAAACTAAACACAAACAAACAAACAACAAAAATCCAAACCCAAACCCAAAACAAGAACCATGGCAGAGAAGTGAATGTGGAAGACACCCTATATCCACTTCTAGTTTCCACATGCTTGTGTATCCCCACCCAGGACCAGGCACACACACACACACACACACACGCGCACACACACCTCAAGTAATGAGGCTATGCACACTCCTGTGTAAGTTCTTTTGTGGATGCTTGTTTCAGTTTCTTAGAAATAAACATACCTAAAAGCCAGGCATGGTGATGCATGCCTTTAATCCCAGCACTCAGAAAACAGAGGCAGGTAGATCTCTGAGTTTGAGACCAGCCTGGTCTACAGATTAAGTTCCAGGCCAACCAGGGCTTATATAGAGAAACTTTGTCTCAAGAAAACAAAAAACAAAACAAAACAAAAAATAACAGCAACAAAAAACTAAGATTGGCATGGCTGGGTCGTATTATGTTTAATCTTCATTTAATTTTTTATTTTTATTTTTATTTTTATTTTTTTTTTGAGACAGAATCTCTCTGTAGCCCTGGCTGTCCTGGAACTCATTATGTAGCCCTGGCTGTCCTAGAACACACCATGTAGCCCAGGCTGGCCTTAATTTTACATACGGCCTCCTGTCTCTGTCTCCAAGCGCCAGGATAAAGAGTGTGAGCCCACCACAGCCATCTTGTTTAACCTTTCTGAGGATCTGCCAGGCTATTTTCCAAAGCAATCCACCATTTAATATTGCCAGCCGGAAGGTACAAGGCTCTGATCTTTCTGTTTCTCAATAGCTCCTACCATCTTTCTCTGATTATAGACATTCAAGTGGGTGCAAAATGATTGTTCTGAAGTTTTTGAAGTTCACTGTCTCCTAGAACCTATAAGAAAGTCTGGAAGGTCTCAGATATTAAATATTTTATTAGGGGGTGGAGCATAGCTCACTAGTAGAGTACATGCTCAGTGTGCCTGAAGCCTTAGCTTCCGTCTCCAGCATCTGAGTGGGAGGATAACTATGTATCTACGCACAGACACACGCACACACACACATACGTGTAATGAATGAATAAAGTCAAAAGTTGTTTTGTTAAGATGGTCATCATGTATTTAACTTCAAAAATAGATGTGTCAAGAATCTAGTTGTTTTTTTTTTTCTGTACAGTACTGAACCACCCCCTTTCTGATACCATAGTTTTTCTTCTGAGAAGAAAATGAATATTTCCTTTTTCATAGGTTTTTTTTTTGCAAGAGCAATGCACTCTCTACTGAGCCACCCCTGCAGCCTTTGGAAGTTTCTTTAATTTCTTCCGATCACTCATTCCAGTTTTAGAAGTGCACACATTCCTGATTTAGACACCTAATATCCTGGATATCATCTCAATGTGTGTGTTTTATATTTATCTTTATAAAATTTTAGGCTTACTTACGCCTTGCCTGCACGCACATACCGCATCTTGGAATTGGTGCTACAGATGGTTGTGAATCACCACATAGGTGCTGGGAACGAACCTGGGGTTTCTAAAGGAACAGTGCTCTTAGCCCCTGAGATGGGGTTAAGATACCAGTGTGAATCTCCAGCCCTGACACACACACACACTTGGTTTTTCTGAAACAGTTCCTCTGTGTAGCCCTGGCTATACTGGAATTTGCTTTGTAGTCCAACCTGGCACTGAATTCAGAGATCTCCTTGCCTCTGCCTCCTGAGTGCTGGGATTAAATCTCCCAGAACCACGGTATTTCTTGCATTTTTATTTTGTATAAAGCTCTCAACTTCTTGTTCAGTGCTTTTTGCTCACCCCAGGTACTCTCTGCTTGCAAACAGCCATCTTTTTGTAGCCTTCCAGGCTAGTCACACTGGAAGAGACAGAGCTCTGGAAGAGACAGCCCCCCCCCATTTTTTTTATCTCTCTCCAATTCCACTCTCCACTCTCCACACTCTTGACAAAGTGACAAAATCAGGCCAGTGCCTGGGAGATGCTCATTTCCAGCGCTGAGCACTTGAAAGATTATTTGTTCAATGAATAAGCGAAGGTAGCTATATGAGAATGACAGGGACTGAACTGGAAAGGCGATTCTCTATTGCAAAATGCAATTTGGTCAACAAATATTTATTGAGTACTCACTGTGTCCTTGCCTTGTGGCTCAGTGTCAAAACACATGGTAAACAAAACGGCCTTGGGCAAGGAGTTTCTAAAACCACTTCTTAGCTGCATGGTTTTATTTCCATACTTTTTATTCACCTATTGATTTTGAGGGTTGTATTTTAGCCTAAGGAATAGACTCGTTTGCTTAGACCCAAATTGTTGGTTCTGATCTAACGTCAGCAAAGGCCCCTGTGCACAGGCTAGGGCACTCGTGTCTCCTCAAAGCTAACCCCAAAATGTTAAGACTCTTTATGTTTGCGTCCAAACTACCCCGCCCCCCGCCCCCATGCAAAACTTCCTTATGTTGGTTGGGGTCCTTGGATGGGGAACCTCCAAACAAACGGCCGGCACATCCACCAGAGGGTGCTGTGAGGGCAGGTTAGTGGCGAGAGGGGAGCTCGCCCAGTGACCCTCAAACCCAGGTACGCTGCTTCACCAGTTGGTTCTCTTTCCTCCCGGTGTTTCCTTCCCACACGCTGGAACCGTCGCCGCCCCTCCCCCCACGCAGGGTTTCTTCTTGACTGTGGCGACTCGACTTTCGCGGAGACTCCAGCCGCGCTCGGCCCCGGAAGCAGTCTGGCCCCCGCCGCAGACGCCCCGCGGCTGGAGCCGGCCCGTCCCCGGACGGCCCCCCGGGCGCAGGCGGCGGGTGGGCGGGGACCGCCGAGGGCCGCAGCGGCCCGCCCCGCCGCAGGGGCCGCGAAGGGGTTAACCCGGCAGGGGTTGGGGGGAGGGGGCCGCGGGCCGCGCGTGCGCTCTGCCGCCCTCCATTGTCTCCACGGCGGCGAGGAGCGCCGGCGAGCGCAGCCCGGGACCGAGCGGGGCGACGCGGCTGGCTGGCGGGGCCGGCGGCGGCTGGAGCCGGAGCGCGACGCCACGCGACCGCGGCCTCCAGAGCTCCGCCCGGCCGCCCCACCGCCGCTAGCCCTCCCGAGGCCTGCGGGAGCCCGGGCCGCCGGCCCCGGTCGTCGAGTCCTGAGACGGGGGACGCGCGCGGCGCCCCGAGCCCCCGCCGCTTCCTGCTGCGGGCGGGCGGACGGGCGGGCGGGCGGCCTCCTCCGGCGCCTCCCTCCCTTCGCTGCGGCTCCTCAGGCTCCGGAGCCCGGGGGCGGCCTGTGGCGCGCGGCGCCCGCTCCGGACCGCGCGTCTTCGGACCTTCAGGAGAACATGGATTCGGCTTGGACTGTTTGAAATTCTTAGTTTGGGGTCCCCGCTCGCTTGCTTTTTCCGCCCCGCGGGTTTTTTTTCCTCTCTCTCTCTCATTTTCTCTGCTCGGGGCTCTTTTGTGACCACCCCCCCCCCCCCCCCCCCCCGCGCCTTTATGTCCGCCCAGCCCTCCACCCGCTTCTGAGTGGTGGGGGAGGGTCTCGGCCTCCTGGTTCCCGCCCCACCGGGGCCCGGGGGAACATGGGGGGCAAGCAGAGCACGGCGGCCCGCTCTCGGGGCCCCTTCCCGGGGGTCTCCACCGATGACAGCGCCGTGCCGCCGCCGGGAGGGGCGCCCCACTTTGGGCACTACCGGACGGGCGGCGGAGCGATGGGGCTGCGCAGCCGCTCGGTCAGCTCGGTGGCGGGCATGGGCATGGACCCCAGCACGGCCGGAGGGGTGCCTTTTGGCCTCTACACCCCCGCCTCCCGCGGGACCGGCGACTCAGAGAGGGCGCCGGGTGGCGGAGGGTCCACGTCGGACTCCACCTATGCTCACGGCAATGGTTACCAGGAGACCGGCGGCGGTCACCATAGAGACGGGATGCTGTACCTGGGCTCCCGAGCCTCGCTGGCGGATGCTCTACCTCTGCACATCGCACCCAGGTGGTTCAGCTCGCATAGTGGTGAGTCCGGGGGTGACGGAGGCCTCTTCGTTGAAGGGTGGAGAGCAAGGGAGGGCGCGCCGGGGCTCTCCAGACCTCTTAGTGGGCTAAGGTACGGGAAGGAAGCTCACTCCTGCGTTTCCCCTGGTTCCCTCCATGCCAGAGATGAATAGGATCCAGTGAGATAACTCCTGCCTAGGGAAAAGCCACCCACCATGCTGCGGAGCCGGGTGTTTTAGGACTGCAGGCATGTGTTCACTTGTGGATGGCGGAGTGGAACCTGCCCACCGAAGTCGGGTTTACAGGCATCGTGATCCTCGGAAAAGAGGTCCTCCTGTCTGGCCTACAGTTTGGACTCCTCATCTCTGCCACTGAAACATGGTGCCTACCTATCTGGTTAGGGAGATAGTGTCTCCTAAGCAAAGAGTGAGAGAAGAAATAAAACTAGGGGCAAGTGGCTCTTGGATTAGGGTTCTCAGCCTTGCTAGGAAAGGGAGGTGGCTAGTTTTTCCACCCAGCTGGGTAGCTGTAGAAATTGCTTAAAATGGAGCAGGAGGCTGGCTCAGGCAGGTGTGGTCTGCTGTGTAGAAAGCCTCCTTCCTTGGATTTTCAGGACCAGGGTTCTGGGCTGTCATGCTGCATGCAGTAGGCTTGGCTCCCTGACTTTCACATCCCTCCATCTTCTTTCTCCTCCTGCTCCATGCTAAGTGCTTGCTCTTCCCGTGATTCTGCATCTTTTTTTTTTTTTTTTAAACAGAGCACCGACAAGGTGGGGTATTATTGCCCGGCCGTTGGCACATGACTGGGGAAGAGGAAGACTGAAAGAATCTAGATGAACTCATTCTGTGCACTTCTGGTGACAGGCCAGGAAAAGGCTGGAGGGGGATTTCCCAGGCTCTGGCTGGTAGGGCAGAAAAGGCCTGGCAGGCACTGCTAGAGGAAAACAGGTCTGTCTGCTTGGCTGTCCTGAGAAGCCAGGGCAGGCTTCTAGACAATTGGTCAGAAGGGGTGTGGGTCAGCTGTTGGCTATTAGTAGTTGCAGTGAAGCAGAGTTGGGAAATTTTAGATACTGTGTAGGAGAGCGTGTTCTCTTGTCCTTAGGGTACACTGTGGAATTACCTGTGGGATTACTCTTGTAACATTCAGCAGGGTAGTTTATTTTTTGGCTCTCTCTCTCTTCTGGTCAGTTCCATAATTTTAAATTTGTGAAGTAACTTTGGTGGGGTATAGTGGCTAATTTAGAGCCTTTATGACATTAGTTAAACTGTTGGAAATCAGATACAAGGCATGTCTGCCTTTGGTACCCTTTAGGCATCTGTTCTGCTTTAGGCATCTTGGAATAAATAATCTTCCCTAAGTAGTTGAGTTCAGGAGTAGTCAGCTGCATTTGTGAAGCCATTGTGATCACATTTGTAAATGAACTGTCATTGGTATGCTTTTAAAGCTGAAAACGGTGTAAATTGATTCTCTGTAGCAAACAACTGTAATTCTATAGAAGCTCGTATGGGGGGTACGAAAAAAAACCACTTCTTTAATATCGCTCCACTGCCAGGTTTCCTGATAGAGTTATGAGCTCACAACTGAAGTCCAAAATTTCACACTCTTGAGCTGTGAAGCCTTAGTGCTCCCCACCACCACACCTCCATCCAGTCATGGGAGTAGGGAGCACCAGTGAACAACGGGAATGCAAAAAAAGTTGGGCATATTAATCTTCAGTGCCTCTAAAGTGTATGTGGCCAGCAGGCTCTTATTAACATTATAGGTAATATTTTTATTTATTTACTTATTTTTAGTGTATAGGACCATCTTGTCCTTTTGCAAGACTTTGAGCCTGTTGAATGCCAATAGCCTCCTGCAGTCCACCTCAGATTGCCTCCAGGAATTCCCAAATGCCTTTTGCTGGGGTGGGTGTGCCAGCCTGCCTGAGAACCACTGTTTTAAGGGATTCGTTCTTTAATACAAATAGAGTAATTAGCTTTTCCTGTGCGGTTCACTTGAGGTGAGTATTCATGTGCAGCGCTAGTTCTGTTTCTTAGAACAGGCCTTGGAATTTTCAGGGGCATCCTTTTCTCTCCTTCATGGCTTCAAGAAGAGAAGCGGTTTCCACCGTGAAGTCTCTGAGTTAGGTCTGAGCAGCTTTCACTCTTGAGTGGTAGGATTCCGGTCACGGGGCTTTCTTGCTTGACAGACCAGTAGCCTGGAAACTGATACACTGTTATAACTTGTGTTTTCAAGGTGCTTTGGGGAATCATCACAGCACAGAAAGCTGACATTAGTGAAATAAGTCAAAGCAAAGCAGTGCTTATGCTGTGTTTGGAAGTAAAATACAGAGGGTTTCCAGTCTCAGGTCCTCTTCTGAGTAGCTTTGACCTTGGACAAGACACAGCACCTTTGTCTAGGCTCATCTTTGTTATTTAAAAATAGACGTGGTAATCCTCAGTGGTGGCAGCTTGTAACGGTTGTTTCCAAACCCTGTGAGAGGATATACTGCAATCGCACTTGTCTTCCGCGTCCTGTGCCTTCCGCATGCTGTGACCCTTGCACAGTGTGAGTTCCTTATGACAGAAATACGTGTTCTTCCATCTTCAAGCAGATAGCTCCTTTGGACCCCTCAGGGCTCAACAGAAAATTATCCTTAGTTGGCACTCTCAACATCTGGCCCTTCCTGTGATTGTTTTTAATCATTTGTGGTAGTCTTAATTTTTAAAGCACATTTTGTAAGCATTTATTTGTCTGCTTATTTATCTTTCTAGTTTGACTGAGTTCTCAGGTCTGTGAGCCCAGAACTATCTCTTGATTGTTGCTGTAACTCTTACACTGTGCCTGACACAAGTATTTGCTGAATGAAAGAATTTGAATGGGCTTATGTCCATGATCTCTCATTCATCACTTTAACGCTACTCCCAGTTTACAGGGGAGGTTAGAAACCTGGGCAGCTGACTGGTAGGTAGCAGAGGTGGACTGGAGTGCTGGCCTGGCACTGCCAGAACCCTAGCTCTTTGCTACTTAACTTGGTTTGTTGGTTTTGAGACAGTCTTAATATGTGACCCCAATGGACCTCAAACTTACATAATACAGGTTGGCTTCAAACTCTTAATCCTTTTGCCTTCACCATCTGAATCATTTCAGTTACAAGTATATGTTGCTTATGTCCAGCTGTGCTCTGAGACATCACTCTGGCCCCTCTTGTCTGTAACTTAAGGAAATAGTACCCTGAAAACTCACTAGCCAGTAAGACTAGGCTCATGATGAAGTGCCTGGCTTGTAACCTTGAGCAGACAGACAATCATGAAGTGCCAGGTTTATTATATCTTCATCTGTAGATGTCTGTCCTCAGAGTCCTGCAGTGTCATTGTCGGGGTCTTGTGTGACAGTATACGCAAAAACAAAAGGCAACAGAAATCCAGTAGTGGCCTCATGGGGACAGTGCTATTGACCTGTGTCTTCTCTGTCTCCTTAGAACTTTAGAGGCAGAGAAGTCTGCAGGTATGGGAACTTAGGCCTCAGATGAAGGCTGTGTTGTTCAGCGTCTGCCCTCCATCCAATCCCTCTCGTGAGTGCCAGAGGAGAACTTTGAGAAGCACTTATAGCCCCCTCCTTCCACTGTTCAACTGCTGGGTTTGTTCTGAGGGGATTCTGTAGCTGCTGGTTTTCTGATGCTATTCTGTACGCCTGGTCATTATTTGTTAAGTCCTGTTAACCTTTTAATAGTTTCCAAATGTGGAAAGAGAGCATGAAGTATCCACCATGTTAGATGGTGTTGCTGTTTTCTGAGATCTACTGTAAAATGTCTGATTGTTGGGTTTGGTTTGGTGTGGCTTCTTAGTCATGTATGTGCATACATGTGTGTATTCAAAAAACTCCAAATTTGTTGCGTTTTAACCAAGCCATCAGTTGACTGGGGCTTTGATGCGGTGACTTTGATAAGTGTCTGAATATGCTAGCAGGGTTTCTTCGGGGTTCTGTTTTGCCGTTGACTAGGATTTCAAAAAGTTTAACTTCCTAGTCTTAAATAATGAGGGACAGTTGCGAACTCTATTAGAGTGGATCAGAAAGCCTCTTTGTGTCTCACTGTAGGTATGCTAGAAGTAATGGGCCTTTTCAAGCTTTCTGAAGAAGGAAAAGCATTCTGTGATCTCTAAAGAGCTTGCTCTATCCCCTGCCTACCTCTGCAAATACGTTCTAGCCTTAATGAAGACTTTGTTTTTAATGCAAGATTTTTTAGCTTTCTATTACCAGCAGGGGCTTATTTTCCATGCTTTGCTTCAGGCAAAGATAATATCCTAAGAGTTATGGTTAACTCTTCCTCTTGAGATCTGAAAGGCATTGCAAGCATCAGTGGCTAAATTGTTAACATGGTTGCTTTATGGATATGTATATTTTTTATATTAAACAAAGACTCATTGCCAGCTATGTCACAAGGAATACTTGAACCAGGCCACCCATAACCAAAGAAAGAGCACTAGCTCCCTCCTTGAGAAGGAACATGCCACATATTTTACAAATGTGATATTTCACCCAAGCTCAGTGGATACTGAACTCATTTTAGAATACCCAATTAGAGCCAGCAACGTGGCTCAGCAGATAAGGGTACCTGCTACCAAGCTTGATTTGAGTTCAGTCCCTGGGCTCCACATGATAGAAGGAGAGAACCAACTTTCCCAAGTGTCCTCTGACCCCCACATGTCCATATACATATTACACACATATGCACATAAAAATGTTTACAAATTTGTGATACTTTTAAATTTAGCAGAAAAAAAATCACAGGGAACCAGACTTAAATGGGATGTTGGTCCTGCTTTTATTAAACCTTAAGTTAGGTTAATGACAGTAGGTCTCTGAGGTTATGGTACTAGACTCTGGAAGCTAGCCCCAAACCTGAATCCTAACCTTAGTTTCTAGAATAATAGATGAGTATAATTTTTATTCATTTTTTTCCCCCTAAGCTTTGCTGTGGCCCAGTCTAAGTCAAACTAATGTTAAGTTAACATCTTAACATTATAGGCTTTAGTACTAGA